TGAGCCACCCACACCAGCCGGTGTGTTAGCTATTCATCTTGGCTGCTTCTCGCCGAAAAAGCCTCTGGACCATATTGAAAGAGTTGGGCTGATTTCACAATTACTTGATTCCGGAAAACCTGCTCGCTGCATACGATTAATGAGAGAGATTGTCTGCTTTTCAAAAGGTGGGGGACGCATCTTGCAAACTTAGAAGCTGTCACAGCGTTATGATCTATCGCGCCTCCCAACATTTATATTATACCCCCATCAAAGCCAGCAATAATATATGTCGACATTGCTCAGGTTGACCGGCCGCAAAAAATACTCATTTTCTCCACTCAGAATTCGAAGTAAAGTTCAATGCAGAGAGGTCCTGCGTGAATCTCAGATGAAGACTCTCTTCAGTTTGTCCGCATTCTTCTCCGTGCTACCGGTTAGAACCATTTGGCTAAGTTCAAGTAGTATCTCTCTGTCTGTCAAATATACTTTTATTCAGCAGTTCACTTAATAGCTAGTCAAATAACCCGAAGAATATACTAATATCGCTTTAGCGGGACATAGTATGTAATATAATACATAACCCGCTCGTCAAAATGACTTCTCGATTGCTACTAAAACCTGAATTGAAAAACGAGTATCAGCTGCTTAGTGGGGCATTAGCGGGTTAACATGCTCCTTGGCTCAAGAAGCGCTTGCTTAATTTTCATAATTTTCCTGCAGCCTGTGTTGTTGACTGAGCAGACGACTGGAGCTGTTTCTTAAACGCAGATACGCACAAAAGCTTGATTTCGCGGACAGATAAGTTGCATGGTTGAGGCATGAAGTTAACTGAAAATTACTCTCGATGGAACAATTCTGTAGTCATCGTCGCTTTCCTTAAAAACTGATTGGAGTCTATTACCGTCTCTCCGGAGCCCATAGTTTCGGTTTTAAACGAAATCTCCGAAACAAAAATTTGACATGAAAAGAACAAAAAACACCGGGAAAACAAAACTATGCTCTGCAGGTTTATGTGCACTGGCTACACTTAACCATTGCAGTTCAAATGCCTATAAAATTTGGCATTAAAGAAAAGAAAATCTGTTAAATTGAATGTGCCACACGTTCAGGCGGCCCGGTCGAGCTGACGCGACCTGGACCCAGCCGCCATGATTGTTTGCTGGTGGTGCCCCCTATAGCTCGCTAAAGTCGCAAATAAGTGAAAACAAGTAGACAGGGCACTTTTCTTTTTTACACTGTTTGTGCGCGCCTCAAGATAACAAAAGCGAAGACTTCGTCGAGCTTCCCTCGTCTGCAAAAGCGGAACTAAAAGATGCCCTCCCCCCCCCTTCCCTATTACCCTTACCCACCCTTTTTTTCCAAGTGAACTCTTCCCGCATGAATAGCTGACCTCATTTTGGTGATGAGCTTGTTTCCAGTCCCCTCGTCACTGTGTTGAAGGTGATTATGGTGTCTGAGAAATGTGTTTTAGGGGCGAAGCTCCTTAGGGTCTAGCCTCATCCGACGCCCGTGATCACATCGATTGCCATCCCATGTCTTCTTAAAGAAAGAAAAAAATGTTTGCGCAGTCGACAGGATTTGAACCTGTGCGGGGCCCCAATGGATTTCTAGTCCATCGCCTTAACCACTCGGCCACGACTGCGGGACGAGTAGGGGGCTCTGAGATGAGGTTGTAACTCAAGAGCTGGGGATGTCATGGATGAAATGTTGCATGTAGCTGCTCAACGTCTTTACAGGAGAGGGCGCTGAGGTCAAATGCGTATATAATCGCGTTAAACTTTCCATGTATTGGCTAACAATTATAGACGAGAGGGAGCTGCGGTCAAATGCTCTGATGCGTATATAACCACATTCCATACCACACATTCTCTTTCTGACATGGATGAAAACGAACGAAAAGCTCGGCATGCTGCAGCTCAGCGTCTACGCAGACAGCAAACTGCTCCAGAGACCACCGACCATAAAGCTATACTAATAATGAAGTGGAATCGCAACCCGGAACTCAGCACTATCTATGAGCAATAAAAAAAAATCAGCACCATCAGCACTACCTATGAACAAAATCAGTATCATCAGCACCACCAGAGCTTCGCCCAATCGACATCATTCACCACGTGGAGATGCACTCATTTTTTCTTGCAAGCTGGCTGTAGTTTGGCCAGTGTCGTACGCAGTTGCTCGTCGCAAGCTGATGCTCATTCTCGTCGATTGAATATGCTGTTCACTTTTACATAGAACATAAATAAACGCCGCATAGATAACCTTTTCTCGTAGGGTAACTACTTTTTTTTTTTTTTTATTATTTCTTGAGTCGACTGTTTTCTTGCAGCGGGGTCAAAGTTAGAATCGCATAGACACAGGTCGACATAGAGCAACCATCTTGGGCAGCTACGCGATCATGCTTAAGGCGCAAACGACAGTCCGTTCTGCAATCGGCAAAGTGGAGAAAACGCTCACTTCGGTTTTCGGTAACTACACTCAAACGTTCGCAAAATGTTCGATCAATATGTGTCCGCGGAGCAGAGAGCAGTGAGAATGTCAAAGGACTGATCTGACTCTAGAGTCATCGCATCGAATCCAAAGACAACGCCGGGCTTCGAGGGCATTAATATCAAATATTGAGTCAAATAACATATTTAGAAATCCATATCAAGTCAGGCAATGTGAACGAAATGCTTACATTACACAATTCACGGCATTTATTTGCCTCCGACAACGTTGTATTGTATTTTCCATGGCCTCGACGGAAACCTGCGGAGCTTCACGCCTGCTAAGCTTCTGGGGTTGCGACAGTCCCATACGCAACAGTGCCTACAGCTTCGGTGTTTGCTCTTCTGCGACATCCGATAGCAATGTTAAGAATAAAAGACCAAAAATGCACTAATCAACACCTTCAAATTGATGCGTGAACAGCCCCCACAAACAAGCACGCTCGCGAAAGGGCCTTCTCAGTGTTGCAAATATTTTGAGCTAGATGGTGCAACGTGCCTCACCGAACTTGACTATGCCGAGGGTATGGGAGGCGGCATAGATAGTGACGTTGCGATGCCATAGCAACGAGCAAGCCGGTTCTCCGCGCGTCTTTCACGTTCCGAAGGAACGTAGCGTCGTTTTGTTTCGTCTATCTCTGTTTCGCCCAATGCCTTTCCCAAAGGAGCGGTTCCTCAAAACTATGCGACTGTTTCCCTTTTTATATGACAAGACGCGGCCAGACTGTGTAGATAATGACGCTAACAACAAACGCTGGGAAATTATAGGAGAGGAATTCGGTATTACAAGTAAGAGTCTCCATGGCACTTGTTGCATGTCTGTGTTGTGACAGATGTTGTGTTGATTTGGTGAAACTCTCGAAAGTAGCCTTCATCTCTGGCGCGCCGCCAAGGCAGCAAAGCATTGACCTGTCCTTCAGTGTTTCGGTAGAACCAACTCAGCCAGACCCAAAACCTGCGCCTCCTTCCCTTCAGAGCGCGACGACGTCGCAAGAGCAACGAACATGCTAGGAAAATCCCATTCATGCTGATCACCAGGTCATCATGGACACCTGCCATGTAGGCAGAGAGTGTGGTTTTGATGCTGATATATGTGAAAAATGAGAGCCGAAACGAAAGAATCTAACGAAAAGCAGACAACGAAAAAGCAAGAAATTTGACGGGAGGCGCGCATGCGATCGCGAGAGCCAGTGTTGTCACGCGACGCCCGCAAAACGGAGGCCAATGTGGACTCCATGCGTTGGGATGCCGGACGGCGCCTGACGCGTCCCAACGGCAAACCCATCCTGCAAACTTCAAATCTGTGCCTCACTCGGCAAGCTTCTATGAGATAGTGCAAGAATAAGAAAATAAATATGACATACTACACTTTGGGTTGCTGCAGCTATAGGAACAGCTGGGCTACAGAGTGGCCTTCCTCCCGGCCTCCGCTCTCGCCTAAAAGCATTAAAATTTTTTCTAACTCCGTGGAGGTGCGACCACATTATCCTTCCCAGTACTGCCAGATTCACCCTGAACAAGTGTTCCGACGACCGTGATTGAAAACGTGTGCCAGTATACAGCCATCTGAAATTACTGTACTACACTGATTAAACATTTTGTTTGACTAACTGTAACAGACAAACATACATTAAGAAGATGAAAAGAAAGAGGTGTCCCGTGCAAGACCCTGCAAACAGGCGGCCTCATGACCTGTATGCCCAACTAGGATGGACCTTTCTCCAACTCGAGGCCAGAGCAAAGAGGCCAACACTGAGAGGTTGGGATGCCCACTCAGAAGGATTTAAAGCGCCGGGGAAAAGGTGGGGCCATGGCAACACCACCAAGTTGTGGCAGCAGGGAGAAACTACTGTCCATGCAAATGCCCAAAGAAAGTGTGCCTCTTTAATCTAGTCCGAGCATGCTTTAGGTTGATGGGCACAGGGTGAGCCTGCTAGTTGGAGGTTTTTCCAAAGATTGAGAAAAAGATCTTGTTAGGCTTTCACGGAGAGCAAAGATATCGTTCACAAGCAATTCGTCTGCCAACGCGAGCGAAGAACAAGGCTTGTGCTCTGAAGTGTCATTGGCTGAGGAAAATAAAACGAGAGAAAACTTTCAGGTCACCTGCTAACAGAACAAAAAAAGGTGGATTGTCCGATACGAACAGAGTGTCACGTCAATGCGACTAATGTAAACTGAAATTGTGATTGTTCGCTATTTCATGTTGGAAGCAATCAACAAGCCCCGCTTTCCTTTGCAAACCTTAAATTGCTCCACTGCTGTACAAAAGCTGATATTGACCGGTGGATAAAAGAGTGATTGCAACAGGCAAACCAGAGGCCGCAAGGTTTATCTCACAATCCGTGCCTGGTGAAAAGTTCTCACCAAAATACAGCTCAAACATAAACTAGAGAACAGGCTAAAAATCTATCATTTATCTATGATGCTCGTCCAACATAAAGCCATAATGCCATGCTCAATCAGAGGGCAAGAAAGCCCTTGCTCTTGGCGGGAACCAAAATCAGACGCCAGGAGTGTGGATCCACTCACCTCTCCTGTTTTGTCATGATGAGCCGCCTTCGGAATGATTTCTTCCCGGGCAAACTTCCTCGCAAGGTTCTGGTACTCTCTTTGCTCATCCGAGAGTTCTGCAATGAATAAAATCACGTATCAGTCTAAGGCTCGAATGGAGAAAGAGAAACCTTTCATTTCCTCCTTTGCAGGCTTGAGGTTACACCCTGCATGGCAACTGCGATAAAAAGTACCGGTATAAAAACGCAATAAAGAAGCCACTGCGTGTCACCTTGAAATAGCCATCAAAAAGCAAACTCAAAGAGTGTCTGTTGTCTTGCCGTTTCTGTAATGCCGTTAAATGTATGAGCCACATCAGTCTGCGCAATCTCCCGATCTGTGGTCAATGGTGTGATCTCTGGCGTGATCTACGGTGTGATCAAAAAGTTCCAGGACTGATTTTGTGGCGTAAAAAGGGAGGGCAGCACAGTGATGTGCGCGCAGCAGTCCAAGGAAAGGACCATCGTGTCTCGTTATGCTAAAAAGTGCTGCTATGTGAACACTTGGAGCTGCACTATGGGAGATTTTGTGACCACGTGCACGGGCGCAATGGCGACTTCACTATAAGCTGCAAATCGGAGCAAGAGCGAACAGCAATTCTGTGTCAAACTCGGCAAATATAAAACAGAAACTTTTGAAACGATTCAGCAGGCTTGTGTCAAAAAACTGTGAATTTTGCAAAGTGCTTTAAGTGGCACTCGCACCAGAAATGGCAAAATGTCGCTGGAAGACGAAGAGCGGGAGGGCGACCTTATCTGACCTCTTCTTGACCTCAGTGACGTTGTGCCATTCTTGAGACGCGACGAGTGCCACTCAAAATAACTTGCGCACCTCACTGGTTTTTGACATAAGCCTTCTAAATCATTTCAGAGGTCTCTGTTATAGATTTGCAGAGCTTGACAAAAGATTGATGCTAGCTCTCACTTTGGCTTGCACTCTATGGAAAGATCGCCCTTGTGCTCTTGCATGTGATCAAAGAAACTCGTGTAGCGCAGTTCCCAATGTTCACGAAGCGATGCCCCTTGGCATAATGCAGCAGGAAGGTCCCTGCCTTTGAGTGCTGCACGCCCATCACTGTGCTGCCTTCTCTTTTTACGCTACAAAATCATGTCCCATCAGTCCCAAAACTTTCTGATCGCAACTGTGCCACGCCACGCTCGGGTTTGAGTGGCGAAGCATCAGCTTCAAAACCGCATGCCCCGACTTTTATCCACTATGTCTGAAACCAGCGGCGGCGTGTTCGCGTAAGTGAGAGCTCCTACGGGCTTAGCCTTTTACAGGGAAGCGATCAAAGGACCCCCTACCATTCTCCTACTGCATCGAGGAGCGTTGAGTGTGTTGTGTTCAGGGCGACCCAGGCAAAACACCGATACAACGATGACGACAGAGTCACCGGGACAACTGCTCACCCTACACGAAACGAGAAGTGTTGCAAGGCGCACCTAATTTGTTAGGCCAGTCACGGTTTTTGGCGCAGCCCTGTCGTCGCTGCCGTTTTCGTTGCAGTGGATGCAATAAACTCAACTTCCCTCACTTTACTCCTATAACAACAAAACGGATTCCTGAACAAAGCGGACTAACTCCTGAAGAAAGCGGACTAAGCAACTGTCGTTTACGGCACCGGCAAATCTGTCTAGCGTCGAGAGAGATAAAAAAAGATTAGGATTTCTTCCGTACGACACACCCGACCACCAAGCTGATTCACACGAAGACGTCGCCGAGTCATCGCACCTTCTCCTGGTTGAAGAGATTGCTCGTCTTACGAACACGATTTGGCAAGAACTTGAAGAAGGCGCAAACGTCAAGCATGATGCGCTTAACGTTTGCGTGTTTCTCGTCTGCTCAGCTGAACCAGAGAAACGAAGAAAAAAATATTTTGCTCGGGTATTGCCTCGCGAATTCCAGCAACTCTCCCCTCCTCTACATTTTTACCTCCTCCCCAGCCCATATGTGGCATTCTTTAACTCCATGCTCATGTTTTGGTTTCAAGCAGTTCCATTTTTTTACTTTATAAAAAAAATATGTGAATGTAATAAAAGATTGATTGGGTAACCTTCTGATGCCATATAAAAATGCCTGGCAAAATGGTTTTAAAAGCTTTTGGGGAGTTTTATTATTTTATTTTATTCATTTTTTTATGCGACATTTGCGAAAAGTTTCTCAGCAACCGCAGCAAACATACACTCGGGGACGCAAAACGGCCTTGGCCTAGATGTCAAGGCTTGCGAGATGGCACAGGTGTGTGTGAAAAGAGACAGAACAGAGGGAGAACCAGATTAATGCCACCCTTTCATGCTATTTCATCAAATGACACTGATGCTTCCTATGGCAGCTTTAGAAGTCTGCCAAAGTGTGCCCTAGCATCAGATGATGTTGTTCAAAACACTGTAACAGCATCTAAATCTTTTTTATAGAATGCTTCAAATTTTAAAAGAAATAAATACACTGTTAAAGGACACATGCAAAGGAAAAAATTATTTTTTTTTAAACGGCTTAGATGGAAAAAGGATGTCATAAAACAATATAACAACGAAGAAAAAAATTTTTAGAGCTATATTTACGGCGCAAAACGAATTTGTAGTTGGCGCCCGCGGCCACCACGGAAAAGTGGTCCGTATTTATCACGTGACTGGTCCTTATTTATCACGTGGTGCTTGCGTTCTTTCGGAAGCTTCCTATGGCCTCTAAAAGTAACTTATTCATCTTTGTTTGAAGTATAACAAAAAAACTAAGATGAATAAGTAACTTTTAGAGCCCAAAGGAAACTCCTGAAAAAGCGCACGCAGACGTGATAGACTTGTGCGCCGGTCAGACGACGGCGGCGGCACCCCGAAGCAGACAAACTGGTGCGGCCGCGGCGACGGCAGCGTAGAGAAACGCGTTGAAGCGGCGTTCGCACAACGCTCAGCGTGCGGCGGCGCGCGGGCCTACCACGTGACCAGCGGCGGCTCCCGCGAGCGCCAACTACAAATTCGTATAGCGCCGTAAATATAGCTCTAAAAATGTTTTTCTTCTGGGGAAAATCGTTTTATGACATCCTTTCTCCATCTAAGCTGTCTAAAAAAAATGTTTTTTTCCTTTGCATGTGTCCTTTAACCCCACAACATTTTGTAACCTTAATATATTCCCAGGTACAGGTAGGTTGAAGAGATGAAGGTCATAATAGTTAAACTGTGGCACCATCATATCCCAGTGCTACATTACAATGCCCACGTAGTGACTTTCCATGTGGCAAAGGTCGAGTAACTGTAATAAGGATACTAATCCAGAAATGTTCTGCCTAATCATGTCTACTGGCAACTCAAGCATGACTTCAACAGACAGCTACATGCTCTGAATTTCACAGGTAAACAGTTAGAGTGTTAATCATAATGTTGAAATCCTGAGACAGGAAAAGAAACTTGAAGAGAAATTAGAAGGGACAGAAGAAAGGTGACAGACAAGCGTTTCAAATTCAGCTCTGATGAAGAGGTGCTACCGTATCCAGCACTTTTAGAAATCGACGGTTCACAAGGTCCTGGTACAAAAGTAAGTGAGCAAGTCCTCAAGCGAGCGAGGACGGGCACTCCTTCGGCCAAGGAAGCTAGGTTCTGCTAGCTCCCGTGCAAATTGCCCCCCTTCTCGGAGGGCAATTTGACATGGATGGACCCCCCTTGCACAAGAAAGAATGGGAGAATAGTATCCTAAAAAATTTTCCGTCCCCCCCAAAATGGAGTTTTGGATCAACCCCTGCACCGAGCTTTGTCAATGTCCCTTTTTGTGCCTTAACTTTGGCCCCCAAGTTGGCTCAAAGACGCTCCTCCCCGCTCCCTCCTAAAGGTGGTTGTTTCCTCCTGGGAATCCTCGAAACCAGTTTCCCGCCCGGTGGTGCGAGCTATTTTGAAAAGGAAATATTACCCCGTGCGATACTTAATGCTGCGGTACGATGTTGAATGGGGTTGCAACAAGGAGTGAGAGATTTTTTCAAAAAGACGTCATACTGTGTTAGTACAAAGTGGTACTCACCAAAACAAAAACCAGGACCTGGGGACTTTGCGCTGGCAGCCGCTTCGGCTGAAAAGCGGCGGGAGCAACATCTCTGGGCGGCCCTCAACCCCAGCAGGGCCTGCGGAAAGGGGGAGCAAAGTCATAGGCCCGCATGCCCACACCATGTGCATCAGACTCCAGCAGATGTTGCAACGAGGTGCCCAAAAATTGATAGACAAGCTGCGTTGCGAAGTTCTACAGAACAAACGCGTGACTAAAAATTGGAAGGAAAAGGATGAGTTTACATTGAGATGAGGAGAAACACAACGAACACGAATGGGCGCAGACTAACAACTGTTTATTTTCTTTTTTCTTCTTTTCAATGCATGAGTTTCCCAATGCGTGAGTTAGGAAAAAAGCGAACGCTATGAATTAACTATTAGAAAAGGAAAAACACCACAAAAATCGAAAGTCCACACATCTTCATGAAGACATTTATCATTATTTCATAACGTTCGCTCCTTACCAAACTCACGCATTGGGAAACTCATGCATTGAAAAGGAGAAAAAAGAAAAGAATAAACAGTTGTTAGTCTGCGCCCATTCGTGTTTGTTGTGCTTCTCCTCATCTCAATTCAAACTCATCCTTTTCCTTTCAATTTTTAGTCCCGCATTTGTTCTGTAGAACTTCGCAGCGCAGCACATCTATCAATGTACAACCAACTAGCCCAAACCCAAGTCCAAGCTTTATTAGTGCCCTAAAAACCTAGTTCTGGTGAAGATTAAAGGCTATCTGACACGGTATAAATCTATATAAAAACCTTTCAAGAGACCCACACTACACACACTAAAATGTCCCCAGAAAAAGCACATAGAACATTTATTAAGCAAAGTACAGAATGTAGGCATTCAGTTTTGCACGACGCTGTGAAGTATCACGCAAAAACCACTTTAAATAAATACCAAAAACCATCATTACATGCTAGAGCACTGTAATTTACCATGAAAGTAAAGTTACCATAAAATGCCGGGCAAGCGCCCACTCAAACTTTGGAGATAATCGCAAAAAAATGGGGGATGGGGGGTTGTCCGGTCATCATTTGACATATAAATGTACTGTGCGTATTTTCTCAGATCTTACAGATTTGGGAATGGAAGCTTAATGTGGAATGGGCAGATGTGCGGTATTCTATGGTAGGTGGTGGACTTGTTCCGTGAAAAGCTCAAAAGAAAAATTTATTTCGAGCAGAAGTCACAGCTGGAACACATGCGCGAAAAACAACCGAAAATCGTGCACAAATCGGAAATTCAAAAAAATAGTTTGGCACAATTTTCTGAAAATTGCACCACATGTGAATTTCTCTCGCACTGAAATAACAAATGTGTGTTCAATGAAACCACAATTTCGAGTTATTTGCAGTAAACACCCTTTTCCGGAAAATATTGTGGAATTATTGTTTTGCACATGTGTTCTGGTTTTTAGAAATACAGTAAAACCTTGTTAATTCAACCCCCGCTAATTCGGAAATTCGGATAATTTGAACTGCCGATCCGCTCCCGTCAAACGTATGTATTAGTCAATGGCAGCAAACGCTCATTAATTCGGAGGGAACACGGCGCACTATGGTAAATTCGGACGAATTCGGCAGGTGGCGCTAGCAAACGTCTGTTCCAAAAGGTATGACCGCTATCCATCCGAAGTGCGCAAGTGATTTTTCCGGTTTTCCCATGGTTCTTCGCTCTTTCAGTTCTCCGTGTCTTGCACCAGTTTTGCTCTGGATCGCCGTGCTTCAGCGCGTTACTGGCGTTACTCTCCTGGCACGGAAGCGGCAGAAGCATTGCTGCAACGGAAAAAGGGTAGCACAAGTGACCAACGACCGGAATGGCAAAATCGCGACACGCGGGGCTATTGTTCCCGAGCGTGCCAATAGCGAGAGTGACAGTCACGTTTTATGCCTCAACGCGGGGATCCTAAAGCCCGCCATTTTAACAACTATCCTATCCCTCAATGGACCTCTTGGCGAATATGTGCTGCCACCTAGACACGCGACTGGGGTCGAGGCTAAGTAACGAGAAAACAATGCGCGCGCGAGGCCTCTCCCACCCGTTGCACTCCCAAAACGTCAGCTACATCCTGTTCACCCATTGAGACGCTGTGACCTAGATACGGCTCCCCCACACTCGCCTTTGTCCCCATCGTGCGTAATCTTCCGCCCCGAAGTCGACACAACGAAACCATCTTCCTTTTCTGCTCGGCCAGAAGGAAGAGAGAGAGGGTACTGGAACCATTTACTCTCGAACCGATGTTTCTGCAAAAGGTCCATTTTTCGTCGGCCACCCCCGCATTGAAAAATGCAACGTGACTGGCACTCTTGCTATCGGCGCCTGGGAAAAATAGTGCCGGGTGTCGCGATTTCGCCGCTCTGATTACTGGTCAGTTGTGCTACTCGTTTTCCGTTGCAGCTGTACTAGGCTAAGAATTTAGCGACGAAAGTGGAAATACTGAGGGCCTTGGAGGGCGGCGTCTCTCGACAAGTGATGGAAAGTTGGGACGTCAAGAAAAGCACTTTGGCCACGTACGTAAAAATTGTGGCCGATATCCTACGGGCTTTCGAAAGCGAGAAGTTCAACGCGAAAAGAAAGCGGCCTTGGAAGGTGGTGCACCCGAAACTAGAAGAAGCCTTGCTGTGCTACATTGTCAGCGCACAGGATGCGTAGCTCCGACAGTGCGAGTGCGGTGGAGCACTCGACCGCGCTAAGGAAAGTTGTTGTCTCCGCCCAAGTGTCGTCCAGAAAGCAGGTGGTAATAACAGATTTCTTCTCAAAATAAAGGTATGTCACAGGGAAACATTTTCGCGCAGCTTTCTTTGTCCTTTCGATATTTCGACTTTCGGATAATTCGGACACTTTTGCCGGTCCCATGAGATCCGAATTAACGAGGTTTTACTGAAAAATTCAAAAACTTCCAGTGACTCAATAGAGAGTTAAACCTTTTTCATGTCAAAGCAAAAAAAAAAATATATATATATATATATATATATATGTTCTTGTGTACCGATAGGGTGTTCGACGAAAACAATAAAATAAAATTGTTGTGCTTTGCACACATTTTCTTTTATCCACTCAAATGCCCCACAAGACTTCTTTTTTTTTTTCTTTTTTAGAGCGCACCTCTTACTAGGCACTTGTTTTCGGGTTCAGCGGCGTCGGCATCAACGTAGAAATGCGCGTTGCATTATGGGAAGTTTCCACGCTAAAGCTAGCAGGGAAATTTTCCCTTTAAATTTAGCAGAGAAATTTTCCGCTATATTTAGCGGGAAAACTTTTCCGCTAAATTTATTGGGGAATTTCCCAACTAAATTTAGCAGGGGAATTTTCCCACTAAATTTATATCCTGCCCATAACACGGAGTATTGGATGCTCCAAAATTACAAAACAATGTATGGCGAGCAAATGATATCAAGTATACTACCTAGGCTACTCAACTTACTTCGTAGCAAAAACATCCACCTCCCCTCCACATTGAGCATTTTTTTCAAAGAAGACTGTAACAAATGTATAATATTTACCTTCAAAACAATGCTACCATAAACGTATTGCCTTACTTTGTCGTATTGAACTGTGTTTTGCCTGTGTGTATTTTTTTGAGTGAATATTCTTTTACGTGAATTTTTGTCTTTTTTTTTTTTTTTTCTGTGCCACTGCTGCCAAATGTAAGGAAGGGGGGCCGAGGCAACACCTCCTAGAGGAGAAGGCCGTAGCGCTCCGAGTGGTTACATCACAATGTCGGAGAAGGAAGTCTATAGCGCAACCACGTGAGAAAAAGTTTCTGTCATCGACGTAAAAAAAAATGTTACTTGTCGCGCGGCGCGGGGTGTTCGTGAGCATTTATTCGACATTATTATGTGTTCTAAAAGCGCAGTATTGTACAATTTATTATATCTATAATATAAACATAACATACAATGCACTACCAAGGTTGAAAGTACCATATTTATGATTATCCCCGTGACCGCGGGACTACGTGCAATTCCACAGATCCCCACACTTCTCGAATGAACCGGTCCGCTTCGACGTTTCCTTCCCTTGTATGGGCTCCAATTCTGGTAAATTTACGTTGTGTGTGAGCTGCTGACTGTTTAAAAAGGAACGCTGAGACTTTCAGAAGGGAAGGGAACCAAAAAGAAATACAGTCATCGCCGCAGGAAGCGCACGCGAGCAAGAGATGGGTCGACGACGCTAAGCCTCCCACACTGCTGCTGCCGCTCTCGTACGTATGTGTGTGTGGTTCTTTTGATGCTTCCCGTCGTTTCTTGATCGTCACCGCAGTCTCGGGTAGTTTTTTTTGTGTTTGCTTGATGCTACGGCATTTACGTGGATTTGCGGAACAAGTCCTGCTACGGTTTGAGTGACATGAGTGGCAACTAGCCAACGATGACACTGGTCGATTATCGATAGACCTCTCTTTCAACAGAGAGAGACTTAAAGTTTGTGTTCAAATGTTTTCGCCACGGATATTGTGGGACGTATGGATACGATCGACAGGTGAGGAACAACTTATTTACGGGCTTTCTTGGTCATGTCGGACGCGAGTGAAGTGCTGCAGTCGGATTGTTTTTTTTTTTTTGTTTTTGTTTTTCGTGATAGAATGGCATCTTGTTCGTCATTATCCATGTGCAGATGCGTCGACATTTGTAAATATGCGTGGTAATATTCTAGTTTTCACTGGAAGGTAAATAACAAGTTTGTGTGATTATACAAAGTGTGCTGTTTGTGCTTATGTGTTTATTTATACTAATGTTATCTTATTGCCTTTACTGCTTTAATACTAGAATCTTAACTGTATTAAGGTGGTATTATTGTATACAAAATAAGATATTTTGTTCTAAGGCAGCTCGAGCCCATAGGGCTCAGCGTGCAGGCATTGCTTTCTTTGCTTTAGCTCACTTCTCTTCAGCACCTTTCTTTTGCGGCAGATTTTTCACGTACCGGGGTCCCTCTCGAAAGAAAGCTTACCGAGAGAGACCTAGGTAATCAATACTTCGACACAGCAGTCTTTCAGTTAAAGAAAAATTTCTGTAGTAATCTTTGATTTAAAGGAGAACGGAATGTTGATGAACATGCGGCGGTACTTAGTGT